TTGGAAGGAGGCCACTGGTGAGGGGGGCTTGGTCCCCAGTAGGATGCTGCATGTGGGCTTGCAGGCAAACTGAGCTCAGGGAGCTGTGTTATTCACAAGAGCCGAGCGAAACCACGGAGGGAGAACGGGGCTGAGACATTTTTACCCTCCTGCAAAAAGATGTTCCCCTGAAGCCCTTTGGTACCACATCCCAGCATTCCTATCTGAACAAGACATCCAGCAATTTGTTCTCTGCTACACACACGCACACAAGCACGCATGCATGCACGCACGCATACACACACACACACACACACACACACACACACACTTTAAAAGTAACAACCTAAGAGCTGTTTGCAAAGCAGATAGTCAGACCAAGTCTAGTGTAGGTGCAGGAATGAAATACTAGGGGGCAGGTGAAGGACATATGTGTGTGGTGTATGTCTATGGGCACATGTGTGTGGACTTGCAGTCACGTGTGTGTGGACTTGCAGTCACGTGCATGTGGGCTTGCAGTCATATGTGTGTGGACTTGCAGTCACATGTGGTGGGGCGTGCAATAGAGTGTATATATTTGGGAAGGTCTCAGGATTATGGGAGAAATCTTTCTTTTACTCTGCTACCTTCACCTTTGGGGGCAGGGTCTTTCACTCCATCCCAGGTGCTGAGAGGCCAGAAGCTAACTATATGGTTCTTGGTTTTATTCCAGAAGCCATAGGGCTGTGTCTGGGATGATTGTCCTTGAGGGCCACAGAGCGGCTTGCAGAACCAGCACAATCCTAAAGCAGCATGCTCAAAGCTTTGTCCTGAACATCACTTATGTCTTAAAATTTAGTATACATTTATATATGTGTGTATATGTCTGTTAGTCTATGCCAGAGATGCCAGGAAAAGCCAGGAAAGGGCATCCGATTTCCTGGAGCTGGAGTTACAGGCAGATGTCAACATCAGGGTGTGGGTGTTGTGAATGGAACTTGGGTCTTCTACAAGACCAAGAAGGGCTTTTTAACTGCAGAGCCATGTCTCCACTCCCCTCCTTCCCACATTTAAACAAACCATCGGCCCACGTCTAAGTCCTGATTTCATCCACTCTTCTATTGCCTGGGTTTCCTTGATAGGTCAGTTATGGATCCTCACTCCCCAGCCTCAGTGACAAGATCCAGTTCCCATCTTTCCTGAGGACCGTGACCAGTGACCTCACGTCCTGCCGTGCAGTGACCCAGCTGATAATTCATTTTCGGTGGTCCTGGGTGATCATTCTGGCCCATGATGATGACTTTGGACAGCAGGCCAGCTCTCTGGCCAGTCGGGAGCTCAGCCCGGCTGGTGTGTGTATTGAGGACACCCTCCATGTCCCTTCCCATGATTCTTCGGGGAAGATTGAATTGATTGTCCAGAAGATGCAGAAATGCACAGCCAGGGTTGTTCTGGTTTTCCTAAGCAATGCCAATTTCCAAATAATCCTGCACAGCTTACTGGGTATCCATCCCTCAGGCCAGGTCTGGGTCAGCATGGACACTATGCACATGGCGCTCGCCCTGAGCATTCCAGGCATTTCCCAGGTACTGCATGGCACATTTGGCCTTCTGTATCACAGCAGCAGGGCAATTGGCTTCCCTGAGTTCCTTGCTGACCTGCGCCCCAGCCAGACCCCAGAGGACATGTTCATAAAGAAGTTCTGGGAGTCCACCTTTGATTGTACATGGCCCCACCAGAGCGGCACAGTGAGAGAGGGTGTCCAGATGTGCTCAGGCAATGAGAGTCTGAAAAACAAGCTGTACCCTTTCCAAGAAGTGAGCAATATTGATGCTGCTTACACAGCTGTCTACAGCATTGCCCAAGCCCTGCAAGACGTGATAGACCGTGGGCACCAGGATGGGAAAGGTATAGACTCTCAGCACTTCCATTCCTGGCAGGTGAGAGAGACGTCTGTGCAAAGATTCAGGGATGCTTGGGGAAGAGGACTGTCTTTCTGACTAAGCTATAGAGGTGAAGCTGACCATATGCTCTGGCAAGGATGTCTCATACTTGTAACTGGCATGCATCTTAGAACACAAAGTGGACAAGGAGTCCATGGTATGCATGTTTTCACATGAGTCCAGTCCCTGTTCATTGCCTGAGTTGAGAAATAAAGGATGCCTAGTAAAATCGATATTTCACCTAACAGTATATTCATTTATTTTAATGTCCTACAATTGAGAGTTGATAAACAGTGGTTGCTTTTAAACATAGGGATGCTGCATTTTTCCTTTTCTGGGAGTGTGGTGCATATCTACAGGACGGCACATGTGGTGGGGTGTGCACTCATGTGTGTATATATTTGGGAGGGTCTGAGGATGAAGTGAGAAATCTTTCCTTCACAGTTCTACCTTTTCCTTTGGGCCAGGGTCTCTCACTCCATCCCAGATCTTGATGATATGGCCAATCTTGCGAGTCAGCCTACTCTGGGCACCTCTTGTTTCCAGCTGTTTAGGCTGTAATTACAGATGTGCTGCAGCCTTCACCTAAATTTAGGTGGGTCAGGGTATTTTATGTCTAATCCTCAAACTCTTATGGCAATCCTTATTTGTACTTTAAAATAGAACAATTCCTGATAAATTCATATACATACCTAATATATTTTGTTCTTCTTTCCAACAGCCTATCTATCATCAATCTATCTGTCTGTCTGTCTATCTATCTATCTATCTATCTATCTATCTATCTATCTATCTGTGTTCTCAGATCTATTCAGGCTAGCATAGTCCCATATACCTAAGGGGACCCTTGTAAGAAATGCTGTTCACTGATGAGGTAACTGGTGAGACTTGTGACCAAGAAAGGGGTTTGTTTTCATCACCTTCACTGAGATGACCTGAGTCTCTACTGTGTGCCTGGTGAATGTACACCTGTTTGTGAACCAGATGCACACTGATGGTTTTTGGCTTTTTTTTTTGCTGAGAGGGGTAGGTTACAGATTACATGTGCCCTATGTCCCTCATGCTAGCACACAATAAGAGGTTGAGGCCATTGAATCCTGAATTCAAGGCCAACCAGGACTATACAGCACAAAAAGATATGATTGTGGTGATAACTGTGTGTGTGTATTCTATGAAGAAAATAAAAAGTAGATGAGTGATTGAAGGGAAGTGAAAGGCTGTAAAAGATCTACGTGTGTGGAAATATCTGAGTTCTAGACATGGGGATGATAAATCTCATTATGGGAAGAAGAGATAGCATATTGGATGACAGGGGCAACGTGTGTCCAGACCATAGAATGGAGACAAGTAGAAGAGCCTCAGCGGTGGTCCTGATGAATTGTGGAAGACTGGTTGGAGTCCACGTGGGCTAGGACCAGTCTATGGAAGTCTTGCTAGGGTTTGGAGTCTACAAAGTGTTATGGGAAGACTGAAGACAGTAGTGCAAGGCCAATGTGATCCTGGGGCAGGAATCACACAGTCATGTTTTTGAGTTTAATTTTAAGGCCGTTGAGAAGTCTCAAAGGGTAAGGCACTTGGCCCCAAGAAGAAATTGGATTGCTGAGTCCCACATGGCAGCACAATCCTGAGAGTTGAGTTGTTCCCCGGTTTCTACAACATGAATGAGCTGGACACACACACACACACACACACACACACACACACACACACACACACACACAGAGACACATCACAGGTATTCTTATTTTTTCCTCTTTTGTCAGAGAGAATCAGGTTTAAAACTATCTCAATTAAGTATTATGAATTACTAATTCATCAAAGCCAATTACATTTGTGAGACTCTAACATAACACAGTTCCTTTATTTCTCTTATGCCTTATGGTGCCAGTCCTTGGTTGAAATTTCCATGTATCATTGCATAGGCAAATGGTATGTTTCATTTTAGACCCTGAATTGTTCCTTGCCTATATATAATTTCTCTTTTCCTTTCTCAGCTTCTTCATGCTGTCAGAAATGTGCACTTCAAGACTCCTGATGGAATCAAGATTATGTTTGATGCCAATGGAGATGTGGTGTTAAAATTTGACATTTACCAGGGGCATAAGACCCCAGAGGGTATATTCAACTTGGTCCCTGTAGGCATGGTAGACCCGCAAGTCTATGTGGGAAAGAAAATGATGGTCCATTTGAAGGAGGATCTTCAAGTGAGCTGCCTGAATGCAGAGATGACTTTTGTCTTAGTGTGTTAAAGTGACAGGGGAATTCCAAATCCAGGGGTCCCCATTGCAACATGTCCATGATGTTGATGCTTTGTGGATTTGGCTAGTCAGTTATAACTTGTGATGCTGTTTATGTAATAAGAGTTCGTTCTCTTAACATTATTGTTTTACCAGCAAAAAATGAAAATCTAAAAGCTGGGTATTAAGGGATGACTCAGTGGTTAAATTGTTTGGTCTGTAAATAAAAGGTCCAGACTCTGGATCTCCAGAATAGTTGTCTATGCTGTGTGTGCAGTGTGGCCCCTTGTAATGTCACTCTTTAAGGTGGAGGCGAGATGCCCATAGCAAGCAGGCTAGCAAGACTAGCTGTATTAGTGACTCTGGATTTTACTTTGAGCCCCTGCTTCAATGAACACAATGAAAAAGCTTTTTCTTATGATTCTCAACATTAACCTTAGGCTTCCTCGTGCACTTATCCATACACCAACATGAGCCTACATAGATTTACAAATGCACATACATGTATTTCCACCATACCCACATACAAAATTGGGGGAAAGTGTGTACCAGACTCATCCATAGAATGAGAATCTTCAGCTGATGCTTCTTGGGAGCATTTTCAGTTTCTGTATTCAGGGTACTTCTGAGAAGAAGATAGAGACACTCTTACCCAAACACCTTCCCTCCTTGGAAGCAGACTCAACAGAAACTCAGTTTACTTGCTGTGTCAGTTTATTTTACCCTCCATGACAAATACCTGAGTACATTTTGAAATGAGGAAAGGTTTTAATTTCCTCATGTTTTGAGAGATGCAAGTCAGATGCATCCATTGCTTTGAGTGGGTGTGGTGGAGGCGGTGTCTCACGCATGGCATCAGGCTTGTCTGGTGGGAGAGGTTGCTCGGTTCACGGAGCACAGTAAGTGGGGAGGTGCGAAACCAGATTGATTAGATAGGTCAACAAGTTACATCACAGCAGGGCTCACCCTCCAGACACACTCCTCATAACCTGGTACCCAGTCCTGTTTCCAGTATCCACAATAATTCATCACATCAGGAGTCCAATGAGGAATCGTTCCATTGATTAGGTCAGAGGCATCAATATCCAATCATTCTTCAAAAACCCTACTGTCTGCTAACTTGTGGTCCCATGCTTGAGACTTTGGCCAACATTTGAGTGTCAAACCCTGAGCTTTATAAACCATGTTAAAAGCAATGGTGAGATAGGTATGTCTATGGGTAGAGTCTGGTGCTTAGAAATAGCTCAGCTTCCTGTCCTGTGGGAGTGAAGAAAGTGTTGCCTCCTCTGCCAGTTTGTGTAAGTTTGTTTTTCTGGTGGCATCTCCTTCAATAGTGGCCTTAATGTTTCCCACATGAGAATGAGGTTCCCATTCTTGGCTATCTCAATCATAAAGGACACATGCTAAGTGTTTAGAGGGTTTTTGGACAACTTTTCAATGGCTTTATCTGGGGAGGATTTTCTGCTCTCATCCATTGTGGGAGATATCTCAGCACCCTACACCTCCATTGTCACAATCCTTGCCTGGAAATAGACCAATGAAGTTATCCTTGGCAGTTCCATGCTAAAGCAGAAGACCACTGTGTGTGACATGAAAGTAAGTGTGTGTGTGTGTGTGTGTGTGTGTGAGAGAGAGAGAGAGAGAGGAGAGAGAGAGAGATTGTGTGTGTGTGTGTGTTTAATGAATCATTACCTTTGATTTTTCTCCTAATGAAGCTCAAGTGCAACGGTAAGTCTTTACTCCATCTGCCCCAGTCTCACCGCCACGTGGGCGCCCTGAATAACACTCAGAGTCTTATATTAGTTTACAATGCTGCTGGCCAATTGACTAGGATTTCTTATATGCTAGCTCAGTCTTAATTATCACAAATCTATATATTTTATAAGACTCATCGAAGAAGCCTTCCAAAGGCGTCCTCTTCCTGGGATCACTGGCGGCTCCAGAGCAGAGAGCAGGAGGAAGATGTAGAGAATGAGAAGGATTTCCTTCTTGTCCCTGCTTATATTCTGAGTCTGCCTGTTATGTCACTTCCTGCCAGGATCTCTTTACTACATTTCTCAGAATCCTCCTTGACTTAGGAGTCAAGTCCCACATATCTTGCTTTCCTATTGGCCAACAGTACTTTATTTATCAACCAATAAGAGTAACATACACATAAGGACCTCCCTCATCATCTCCCCTTTTATCCCTAAATAAAAAGAAGGGTCTTCATTACCATTATCGTTACACTAAAGGATGCTTTATTATTAGAGTTTAATTGAAAACACCTGGGGAGTTCAATTGTAAATTTCAACATCTTCACGGAGAAAGATGGAGAGAAGGAACAGAGACAGCCATGTCTTCTGAGCCAGGCATGGACGTCAGTAATCATCCACAGGCTGCTGGGAGCTTCTGAGAAAAAGAGAAAGCCAGGAACATGAAGGAAATCTTGCCCAGGCTAGAGACTTGTGTAATGTCTGCCTATACTTATAAGCCCGTTTCCTCTAGTTTGCATATATGGATGTTTCCCTGCATATGTGTTTGTGTACTATGTGTGTGTCTGGTGCTTGTGCAAGCTGGGAGAGGCCATTTGGTTCTCTGGAACTGGAGTTACAGTGTGAGCTGCTATATGGATCTGTGAATTGAACCCTGTTCATGTGGAAGAGCAGCTTGTATTTTTAAACACTGAGCCATCTGTCCTGTCCCCGTGAAAATACTTGTTGATGTAGGAGCCCCAGAGAGACTGGAAAGTCAACACGTCAAACTGTTTATTCATGTTTTTGCATCTATTTGTCAAGTAATTCAGATGTATCCCTTCCTGTATTACACTCAAAGTACCTCTCCAGTCTGCCATCTGTTGGGATAGACATGGTTTCTGTAAGGCCTCTCATCTAGGGGGCTGACAGGAAACTGTCCTGTTCTGGTTCTCAGGGGGAGGTCAAGCAACTCTATCCCTGGAGAGGCACTAGTGATACTATGCTCACTGTTACTAGGTGCCCAGCTCTGTCTGCAGTGAAAGCTGCCTTCCGGGATCCAGCCAAGTGCCCAGGGTGGGAGCCCCCCAGTGCTGTTTTGACTGCAGTCGTTGCCCCAAGGGACAGTTTGCAGACAAAAAAGGTAAGGGCATTTGGAGCTGGATCTGAGGTGTCAACAGGACACTGTGAGCATCCTGTATTTGTCCATTGTCTGAGTTACTGTTCTCCTGCTGTGAAGAGACACCATGACCAAGGTGGTTTCCAACAGAAAAGCATGTACCTGGGGCTTCCTTTGAGTTCCAGAGGGTGAGTCAATGACCATTATGTCAAGAAGCATGACGTTCGGTTAGCAGGCATGACACTACAGAAGTTACTGAGATGTTGCATTCTGACCCACAGGCAGTAGGCAGGCAGAGAGGTGGAGAGTTGGCTTATTTGGGAGTGTGAACTTTCCAGGCCACACCTAATGTCAACCCTCATCCAATAATTCTATACATCCCAAGAATTTACCAACTTACAAGTAATCAATCACATGTGTGAGATTATAGGGTCCATTCTCGTCAAACCACCACAACCATCCACTGAGATTTTACTGTCTTTGCTTTCCTGTGGATCTCCAGCCAGAACACTAGTCTCAAGGTTGTTCTTAAATAAATGCTGTATTGTGACAGATATGTGCAGGAACCTGTCCCTGTCCCTTCTCCTGAGCAATGGGACCTTCTTTCTTCTTCTGTATTTGTGCTATTCATCATAGAGAATGAATGGAAACAGACCTCCCCATTCACGGCATTGAGCTATAGAACTCAGTCCTCTATTATTCTGAAAGGTGAAATTACAAAGCCAAAATTTCATCAGGGTTGGTTTTGTCTGAAGCCTCACTGTTGCACTGGCAGAGTCATTCTGCTTTCCTGGGTTCTCATTTTGACCTGAGTGTGTGTGCTTATATGTTTGTTTATGTTATTAATTCAGAGACTGATTGATGGTTCGTTATTTGGCTTTGTAAACGTATCCCACTGTGCAGTGCTGGCTGGCTTGGAACTCACTACATTGAGTAGTCTGACCCTGAATTTATGGAAATCATCTCCCTGCCTCTGCCTCTCTAGTGCTGACATTAAAGTCATGAGCAGCCATACCCAGCTCCAACTTCCTCTTGTTATTAGGGCAGCAGCTCTGTTGGAATTAGTGTCTAGCCTTTATTACATCATCTCCAGTTCACTTATGGCAGAATACAGTTCCATTTAGAGGGACAGGACTTCAGAAAATGAATTTTGGTTTCACAACTCATCTAATACATTCCCTAGTACGATTGGTTCCTGATAGTATTGGGAAGAAAAGAAGCATTATAAAGTCACAGAGGAGACCAGGTATGTTACCACATTCCTTTAGTCCAGCACTCAGGAGGCAGGGACTGGAAGATGATTTGGGATTGTGACTGGTCACTGTAGTCACCTCAGTGATCCCCAGTTTCACTGGGAGATCCTGACTTAAAAACTAAGTTTGAGATGGCAGGGACAGGTGACTCCTCAGTGAGGAGCACCTATTTGGTGGCTCACAAGAACCCGACACCCAGTTTTAGGGGATCTGATGGCATATCCTGACCTCTGTGGGCACCTGCCATGCACAGGATGTCCTTGAAAATGTCCAGAAAAACTTCAACAACTAAAGTAAAGTAAACAACAACAACAAGAATCACTTGAACACAAAACAGTAAATTGTTGAGGCTTTTTCAAAGGGCCTTTGGGACTATAGTTCAGTGGTAGAGTGCTTGCCTGGCATGTGCAAGGTCCCAGGTTCCACAAAACCAAAAATAGCAAACAAACGAGCCTTCTGATGTCCATAGAACCACGGAATGCACACAAGCTTGCATCCCTCTCTCCTCTCACAAACACACACACACACACACCCCAACATATACAAACACCTTTGTTTAGAAAATAAGGTGTGAGAAATGAGTGACAAACCATATGTGATAATCTCTGACTTCTACTACTGGGCATGTATATCCACTTACAAACATGTGTGCACACATAAACCTGCATATACACCAACTCACATAACTTAGGTATTGCTGTGCAGGCATATAATCACAGTACTTAAGAGGTTCGGTATAGAGGCTGTTTCATTCACTGCCAACCCTGTGACTCAGCCTGAGCTATATGAGACACTGTTTCTAGACAGAACTCCCCCACCCTCATCCCCTGGCTCACACACTTAAAACAGCTACCAACTGTTTTTTTTTTTTTTTTGCATTGTTCCTATGCTGCATGTCTCTCTTATCCCAGCACTGGTCACCAAGATTAATTAATAAATACATGAACTGACAGCAAGGTTGTAAGTGCAATCAATTCTTGGAACACCTTCTTTCAGAGCTGCTGGAGTTGGTCTACTATTGCAGAAATGTGTCTGTGTGTCTCCCTTAGACATGAAGAGATGTCTTCAGTGCCCCAAGGAGCAGTACTCAAGCCACAGCAGAGACCACTGCCTGCCCAGGACAGAGAGCTTCCTGGCTTTTGAGGAACCTCTGGGATTCATGCTGGCTTTGGTGGCACTCTTCCTGTCTGGTCTTGCTGTCCTGGTTCTGGGAGTGTTTGTGAAGCACAGAGACACCCCTGTGGTCAGGGCCAACAACAGAACCCTCAGCTACTTACTCCTGATGTCTCTTTCCCTCTGTTCCCTGTGTGCCTTGCTGTTCCTTGGCCGGCCCAGTGTGACCACATGCCTCCTCCGTCAGACCACCTTTGCTGTGGTGTTCACGGTGGCCATCTCCTCTGTTCTGGCCAAGACTCTCACAGTGGTCCTGGCCTTCAGGGCCACCAAGCCTGGGGGCAAGATCAGGCTTTGGCTGAGCCCCAGAGCTTCTACCTCTGTGGTCCTCATTGCTTCCTTCATGCAGCTTGTTCTTTGTGGGGTCTGGTTGGCCATCTCTCCCCCATTCCCAGACAGGGATATGGTCTCGGAGCCCCAGCACATTGTCATCCAGTGCCAGGAGGGTTCTGGCACCCTCTTCCTCTGTGTGCTGGGCTACTTGGGGATCCTGGCAGGGGGTACCTTCTTTGTGGCTTTCCTGGCCAGGGGTCTACCAGATGTCTTCAATGAGACTAAGTTCCTGACCTTCAGCACGCTGCTCTTCTGCAGTGTCTGGACAGCTTTCCTGCCCCTGTACCACAGTGCCCGAGGCAAGTCCACTGTGGCTGTGGAGATCTTCTCCATCCTGGCCTCCACTGCTGGGCTTCTGGGTGGCATCTTCATCCCAAAGTGCTACATCATCTTGCTGAAACCAGAGAGGAACACCCCTGCCTGGCTAAGGCAAGGCCACCAGGCCCTGAGGATAGGCAGTATGAGATGCTCCATAGAAGATGTCTCCTCGGGTCCACAGCACAAACCTTCATGACATAGTTCTGGAAGGGATCAACACAACCAATGACCAACCTCATGATTTTGTTTCACTGTTTCTATGTGGATCCAGACATATCAAGATGGAAGTGAGACATTTTGAACAAGACACTCATTGACTATCAGTTGATAGTAGACGCATAGATGGTTAATGTCAGTATTCTCTGTGTATTACAAAAGTTCATCACAACCATGGTCATTTGAAAAGGGGAGCTGGCAAGATGGCCCCATGGGTTTACCATTAAGCATGGTAACCTGAGTTTGATACTCAAGACCCACTGTTTCCAGGGAGATCATTGATCTATTTTATTTTGAGAGAACCAGTACTGGGGACTGAACCTTTACACTAACAGTTCCACACAGATGTAAACTTGTGATTTAGCAAACCCACTCTTAGATAGATATCTACGAAAAATGAAAACATGTCTGCCAAGAGTGCACATCAATTCTCAGAGAAGCATTATTTATGCACTAAAAGTTGAAACAATTGTAATGTGTAGCATGGATAATGAAAACCAAGAGACAGGTATTGTAGTTCAAGGTGAAACTCAGAAAAGCAAAGCAGCCAAGAGACCAGAGAGCTCTTACCTCTACCAAGGTTGGGGCAATATTATCCTTAACATGGCTGGAGACTAACTGGGCGGTCTGAGACTCTGCTCCTGTCTTATATACCTCTCTAGTGCTGGGATTTTAGGCGTTTTCCACCGCTGCCCAGCTCTATGGCTAACAAACGTGTCGGCTGGGATTAAAGGCATATGCCACCACTGCCTGTTCTCTATGGCTGTGGCTAGCTTTATTATTCTGATCTTCAGGCAAGCTTTATTAGTCATAAATAGTATATCATCACATAAATATTTTTCAGTTGCTGAATATTTGGTATGACTCACTCATCACTAGGAAATTATTTGCCAATAAGAAATAAATATACAGCCAGGTGGTGGTGGTGGTGCATGCCTCTAATCCCAGCACTTGGGAGGCAGAGACAGGTGGCTCTCTGTGAGTTTGAGGCCAACCTCGTCTACTGAGTGAGTTCCAGGACATCCTCCAAAGCTATAGAGGAAACCCTGCTCAAAAACAACAACAACAAAAAGAAATAAATATAAAAAGAAACAGAATACTGTGTGACGTATGTTTAAACACTGAGATTGTTTCACTGGGATAAGGGATACAGACAATAAAAAGAATGGATTTTAATATTCCATTTTATGAAATTTCCTGAAGAATTAAGTTTATAAAGACGTATATTAGAGTAATGTTTTTTTTGAGGTTTGTGGAGGGGGGGGACTGGAGCCAAGGAGTGTAGACTAAAGTGTGCAGCATTTCTCTTGGGGGTGATGTAGGTCCACTATGTTTTTTTGTTGAGGCTGCAGAGGTGACTCAATAGTTTGGAGCTCTCACTCCTCCTCCTGAGGACCCAGGTGGTTAACAAAACCATGTCGGGCAGCCAACTGTCAATCCAGCTCCAAGGTTCCAACACCCTGGCCTCTGTGTGCATCTGCACTTATATGCTTGTACTGCACCCATGGTTAACTAAAAATGGTTTGATCATGGTTGCAAGACCCCACAAATATGCTATCCACCGCTACATTGTCATCTCCTTTTACTTATTTATTTGGGACAGGTTCTTTCCCCATCATCCAGGCTGGCTTTAAATTTGTAGTGGTCCTCCTGCTTCAGCTTCCTGAGTGCTGGGATTTTTGGGTCTTCTCCCTCATCTTGAATTTTGCATAATGTAAATGGACGAATTGTACTGTATGTGGGTTATGTCTCAATAAAGCTAGCATTAAAAATAGTTATCCATCAATTACAAACTGTCCAACTTTCATTATTTTCTTAATTCCAAGAGAAGATCAAACTTTTTAAAGTGAAAGTTAAGTAACTATAGGCTGCAATAATATTGGAGTTATTGCTGTTTTATTTCTTTTAAATTGTATATATTGATTGACAGATTGGTGTGCATGTGTTTGTCCATATTTTTGGACATGCAATTGCCAAACCAGTATGTGGAGACCAGAGCGTAAGTCTCAGAAGTCATTTCTCTCCTCCTAGCATGTGGGAACTGGAGATTTAACGAGGGTTGTCAGACTGCCTTTACTCGCTAAGGTGCTGAGCCATCATTTTGGCTCTATTTTTTACTTCAATATGGGGATTATGGTCATTTTTGAAAATTATGCCTATCTGTTGAAGTACAGACAAGTGCACAGCAATGACGAGCATAGCATAGCAACCACCCTGGGAGGGCCGATGGGCCATAACAACCCGTTGACCAATCAACACAGGGCAAGCCCTCCAACCCTGGAGATCTCTATGCAGACTCTTCGAGCTGTCTTTTCTAGCCATCCACCATGGTGGGTAGATGAAAGACCCGAGCTAACATGGGGTTAGCTCGTTAAACTATAATAAAGCCTCGTGCAGTTTGCATCAAGTTTCTGCCTCCGAATGGTGATTGGGGTGACCGCAGTTCTGGGCTGAGATCCTGGAGGCTTGAGCTTCTGTGGGTCTTACAACCCCCATACCTTATGCCCTGAACTCCCTTCTCTCTATAGCAACTAACTAATGTGTATTCATTAAATACTCATACTATGTTACCACTTCCCCATCTAAACTTTCCAGTGCTTCCGTCTTAACTCACAACAAAGAAGCTGGATTTCTCAGCTAGAGATACAATTCAGTTGGTATAGTGTTTGCCTAGCACGACTATCTTGAGTTAAGATTCCCCAGTATTGCATAAAACTAGCCATGCCTGTAACCCCTGTACTTTTGAATTGGAGGCAGTGGGATTAGAAGCTCAAGGTCATTTCCTCTTCCTGCCAATCTGTAGTCTCACAACTTCAAGCCATTCATCTTACAACTCGATCTTGAGCTTCTCCACAGTCTCTCTTCTTAACAGAGAGAACCATTCTAAGCACCTTTTGCTGGTTGATGTGTTTTCTGGGACCACCATTGCTTCTCTGCCATCCATAACTTCATGTTGCTAGTGCATGCCTAAACCACTTTTACTTGCATTTCTTGAATGCGATCCTTCCTTCCACATATGCAGTGCACGTGCCATAAACAGGTCTGACTTGGCAGAGGTTTCCTGGACTGTTTTCTGTTCTAACTTCGATCCCTGCTCAATAAATGCCAACTCAGGGAAATTCCACAAAGTAATTTGATAATGTAGACTCCCGTAAGGTTTTGCCACCTTGAAAGAGATTCGGGAGACAGCTTCTGATGCTCTGAAAGGGGAAAATTAATAAAAGTCTAAAACCCAGACTCCAAAGCCCAAAGAGAAAACTCTGAGTTCCCAAAAGGCGGCTCAGCAGATCAGGTTAAACAAAGATCCACAGGATTCAAGCCCTTAGACCAGACATCACACCCTAGAACGGCATCCACATTCCTCTGCTCCAAAGAGGATCAGATAAGTTATCAGTTGTAGACATCCCCAGCCCAGGAGACAATTAACAAACTCATTTCCCCTGCAGCATCCTGCTTAATTGTACCCTGCCTGAAACATACAATCTTTGTCCTGTCCTGTGTAACCACGCAAGTTTTGTAATCTTGGGGCTTCCAGCCCTACAATTTTCCCTTATAAAAACACCCCTCAGTCGAAAGTGGGGACTCCATTTGTTCCTGAACGAATGGGGTCCTGGTTGCAGCTCGTATCCTTGAGTCAATAAAGAAACCTAACATTTCTTCCCATAGGTCCCCACGTCCTCCTCCCAGTTCAGCAGGAAGTAGCACGGAGAATATCACTCCCCCTTTCCCCACTGTTGACACCGAGTTAGGGCTAGTTTCCTATTGTTTAAGGTTGGGTTTGGACGGAGGTGCTCCAGCTTAGACATCTCTTTCAGATGACTTGAGGGTTTAGTTGGAATAGTTAGAGTTAAGATGTGACATTAGTAGATTATTATAACTTCTTGTAATTCGCCCTTATGATTGTTAATGATAGATAATTTACACTGTTAAGTTTTAATCCTCTTTTAGACTAAAAGGGGAATTATAGGGGAAATGCTAGCCAAGCCCACTTGGAGGCTGGCACAGGTGACGCACACCATGCACACCTGGGCGTGATCAGAGTGACGTAGCAAGACTTTATATATGAGGGTCGCACATATGCAGCTCTCTCTGTTCTCTGGTCTGAATGGTTGTACAGGACTGACTGGTTGTGTGAGCACTTTCCTATTAAACATCTGCTCATCAAAAAAAAGAAAAAAGAAAAAAGAAAAAAAGAAACCATTGTCCTTGCGTTCAGAGAGTTGTCTCCTTGTTGGCGGGTTCTTTTGGGGTTCGGAAATCTGGGCACAAGAGTTCTTCATGGGCAAGTGGGACTTCACAGGCAGGGGCCACTATAATTAGGTTCTACATCTAAAAAAAAAAAAAAAGGTTTAATAACAACTACGTTCTCAATATCAAGAGAGGAAGAAGTGCTTCCTAGAGATCCTTCACCATCACCAGGCTCCGACTTGCAAAGTGGCTACCTTGAAATGCCATTTTACTGAGAGGCCAGCCTGAGCTTCCCAGCGGGCCAGCCTGTTGAGGCTCTCAGGGAGGGAGAGAACCACCTAAGGGAGGTTAGATGCCAAGTGAGGGGGAGCCACCACCCTTTTCGGCT